CTCGTGAGCATATAAGACTTTGAATGCAGCAAATATTCAACTCTGTACATGCTAAAAGGTGCTGCAGCATTTTCACCTTAGTGGTGAGGAAGAATATCTTTTACAAGTAATTCCATGCAAATTGAAAAATGCTAACATAGTCATGAAAAGGGATCTTTATTATGCGGTGAAACATTCCTGCCCACCACACTGGGGTGCGTTTCCCAAAACCATAGTTGCTAACTAAGTTAGCAACTTTGTTGGTTGCAATGCAATTTCCCATTGCCAACCAACTAAGTTGCTAACAGGTTAGCAACTATGGTTTAGGGAAACGCACCCCTGGTAAGCTGTGTCTACTGTCTTTTACTATGACATGTCTAATCAAGAAAATTAAAAAGCCTTCCCTCGGTTTACTAAGAAACTCATTACATGTTGAATATAACTAACCTCCTTAAAGGACAAGTTCGGTATTTTACACTTAAAGCCCTGTTTTAAGATCGTTTCTGATGAAATAGAACGGTTAAGATTGAAATTTGGACACATGCTGCTGTCCCGAGAATTTCCGGTTTCTGTGGTTGCACCCCCCCACCTCCACAATGGTTGCATAGGTGCACTGGAACAATCCTTCCTAAAACGCATTAAACTTTAGTTTACAAAGACATGAAACTCACAGAGTGGTCAGGGGTGTTCACTAATATGCTCACACAAAAATCGCTGCAAAAGATGCTTTACAACAGGTTTTATCGTAGTTTTTGTCCAAGTCAAGTCAATGGAGTTGGACAAAAACTACTGTATGCATGTAGGCTACTGTTTTTCATACAAATACCAAAATCCAAGTTACATTTTGCCATGATAGTGAGGTGCTATACTGTAGGCTATGCCTGGTTTTATCTGTGGTTATCATGATCTAAATGCATGATACTGGATGACCAATGGTTCATTTTAATAAAATTCAAACAGTCAGAATATTACATTTTACCAAATTAAATTGAGGTCATTATTTTTTTAAACAGATGCTACTGTTTTTGCTAATGAACATAAATTTAGCTTAGTAAATCTGCATCCTAACTCAAGCTAATACTACTGTCAACTCACTGTCAAATATGCGTTTCGAGATATATTAATATTAATATTGCAGCCTGCACCGCAAACTGCTGAAGATACGAGCCATCAAAGTCAGGACAAACAAACCTGTTTCAAGACTTGAAACAATATCCCCCATTAGCACATGCAGAAACTAAGAAATAAATGTTTCTATTAAGATATTTATTTTGTTAAGGAAAAATGGCATCTTTGAATGTTCTACCTGAGATTTGTGAAATGTCCACCTGTTTGTCATGATATGTTCTGACAATAAAGAGTAGTTTAAAACCACAATTAACGCTCTGGTTTCTACAACTTTCACTTAGGAGCAAAAATCTGAAAAACTTAAAAGAAATAAAAATTTGACATTTATCGTGATAAATATCGATATCGACTGATATAAAAAAAATTATCGTGATAATTTTTTTGGCCATATCGCCCAGCCCTAGGCCTACATGCAATTTAATCTTACAGGTGACATTTCAACCTTGTCAAGACATCATATTCAAACTTTGTCTTAACGATCCTTTGCTTTAGATGTATTTTTTAATTCCAGTTCATTTTAAATAGACTTCCTTAAATTCAAATTAGAATACGAATTCTGCATGTTTGCTACCTCATTTCAAATTCAGAATCTGAATAATTCATTATAGACTGATATTAACTAGTAGAAAACAAACTAACAAACTGTCCACTGTGCTGCCATAGGATGTTAAGTAAAGCCTGTGACAGCAGAGGGCGGCCTTGCAACAGAAAGGTTTTTTGCACAACTTTGCTTTTCCTTTTGACACTGTCTTTGTCTTTGTGAAATTCAAATAAATGGATAAGAAACGTTTTTCAAGCTAGTTATGGAATTGTTGTTGTTTTCAGATATGGAAACTAACTTCAGTGTACAATTGTTAACCTCGGTTATTATGGAAAAAAAGGGTCACTGTACAACACACAATACTACATGCAATGCAAATAGGAAAAGTAAAGTGACAAAGCAGTTTTATACAAACAAGCACTGTGTTCAAAGCCAGCCAGGCACTCTCACGTCAACTCCATTAGCTGCACACTTTACAGGGTAAACAACAGAATATTGAAAACAAATCTAACTCCAGATCATTCCTGGACTCATCGCTGAAATTCATCATGAACAAATGTTCAAGACATATAATCAAAGCAAATGCTGTAAGAAATGACTTATGTGGCTAATACTTGACAACCATGATGCTGAAAAAGTCTTAAGCTGGCTGATATTATAACTAGAAGCTGCTTACAACAGCAGTGGAATGGCAAAGCTAAGCACATGACTCAGAATGACTCTCTAACACGCACACACAGCATGTACTGACCTCTCATACTTGCAGCTCAAACTTCAAAGCCAAGCCAAGTAGCGTTGTTTCAGTGTCTAGGCATAACCAACAAGTAATGGTGATGAATTTTGATTCAAAAATGATCTTATGAATCAAAGAACTTATTCAACTTCTGAAGCTACGCATGTCTTTTTCACCAACTCTGAGTTCAAAGGTGCCGAATGCACACCAACCAACAAAATGCAAACGTATGTGTTGTGCATACATACATTGAGTAACGTTATCCTTGCTGTCCTCAGATCTTGAAGCATCAACGTTAACATCCCAGCTTGGAACTTTCTCCACAGCCTGGCCCTGTATGTATTGAGTCTCTGAAAGGGAAGGAAATATATATAAAAAAAAAGATATATTTATATTTCTCTTGCATACTAACCTCAGCACCTGAGTGTACTAAGTGTCTTATATTTTATTATTGTGCTTCAGGTTTTTGCACACTCTTTCTGGATATTTTAATACTTTATGCTATACTTTATGTATAAATAACTATCCATTTATAAATAATTTGTATCAATTTGTTATATAATCCTGTACAGAAGAAGAAATTTAAACTTTTTCAGTAAACAAACTGTTTAAATGCTATTTGACTGACAACAAAATTACTGACCTCAGCACTTTTGACGCTGTCAATCTGTTTTAATGCAAGAAGAGACATATATTGTGTTTTTGACAACTGCAGCTACTTTAAAAGCACCAAGTGTAACTAAACAAACGCGGATTTACTTCAATAACTGCGCTCTTGCTAGAGGGGGAAAGCATTGTCTGGCGTTGTTTACAAGCTCTAGCTACCGCCAACAGCGCTCAGCCGCCCAACCACAATTACTGCTTGAGATGCGCGCGCATGCCTTGCGGTCCAACGGTTTTTAGATTTACGAGGTAAGATTCAATAACACTTTAGGGTGTAGGCCACTGATCTATATAGAATGTTTAGTCATTATATAGATCAGTGGTTTAGGCTTAGAAGTTGTTCTTTTAACTTATCATAGCGCCTTTAAAATGCTGCGGGAAATGTTGAAAAAGGTTGGCACAATGCTGAAAGACATCCATAGTGCATGTTGTTTACATTGAAAAAAGTGGAAGTGGAACGCAAAAACGTGTTCTTTGTGTTCTTGAATTTATCTATTTATTTATCAAGTCACAATAAAAAAATAGAACATAGTGATATATTAATCTGAAAATGTTATGTTTTTTTTTTTTTTTTAAAGCCAGAACAGAGTGGTGCAGGTATGACGTCATTTTGTAGGCCAACTGGCAGTTATTAGCATCATTCTGGTTCCCTCGACAAAAACCCCAAAACCCTATTGGATTTTCCATTTAGCCACTTGTTAGCAACTTTTTCAAGACACGTAACAGCTTAAAAAAAAATCACAAGTGGGGTAATATTGATGTATTTTATGTTGTAGAATAAAACATGAAAGTGCATTGAGCTTGTGTTCACCAGACTTTATTTCAGCCATTTAACCAAAACCCCATTGAATTCAGGACGAAAAAGCTAAATGCTAACTCAATTCTGCATTTTGGCCCACAAAGTAATGTCATACCTGCACCACTTTGTCATTGCAGGAGGGGGGGGGGGGTTTATTTTTTTCGAGGGTACATAAAAAAATGCATGTAATGGATAAAATCACTTTGATAAATGTTGTAATATTCCATTAAAAAAGGTCAATTTTGATTTCATGGTCACGTTAACAAACAGCCCTAGTTCAAGACAAAAGAACAAGAGATCGGCCAGTATGTAACCTTTAGTTTTGTTTAATCTTGATTTAAAGAACATATCTTCAGCTCAATTAAGGAAAACGTAAGTTTGCATGGGTTAATCAGCATATTTATGATTTACATAAACATCCTAATTTTTGTTTACAGCTGACATTAAGCTTTATAGTATTCTGCAACCTTTAGCACATTAGTTGGTCCTGCTGCCATGGTCAAACACTTGGTTTGAAATTTAAAGCTACAGTCTATTGCCGAACACTCTTAATATTTATAGGGCGAGTAGGTTACACAGCATAGCATTAAATGCAGTACAATGAGAGAATGTCTTAATCCAGTCCTTTTAACAGCAATGAGAAAGTGGGTTTATGCACTATTAAGTTACAATGCTCCTCAGAAAAGGAGGGCCCAGCAATATTTTTTAAACCACATTATGGGCTTCTAGACAGACCACTTTTGCATGAGATCCCATGTGCACAGAAACAAACTTCCATAGCTTTTCATACAAGCAAGTTTAATATTTACCCTTTTACAGGTCAAGATAAAGCACAGCATTTGTACATTCTTGTAACACTCAAATACAAGCCAGGTTCACACATGTAACATTGCTCAAAAGAATGTCAAGATGCAAATACAGTGAAACTGTATCGCAATAGAAAAACTGTTCACAGGATCAGGGGGGGTACTTCTGATAGATTAGTGCATTCCAGGATAGCTTAAAAAAGAAACTGGCTACAAACATACTGGCAGTGTTTCAAATTAAAACAATAAAATTGACTTGTAAAGCACAAAATAAAAACAGGCAAATCAGGGTGTTCTAAAGAAAAAACATTAGTCAAACTAAAATGCATCACAATATTTAATAAAAAAAACAATGGTAGAATAAAAAAAATAAAAAAAGTTTAAATTAAAAGAAACCACAAAGGCCAATAAACTGGCATTTCCAGAATGCAGAGAACAGCCCAGTGGCCTTATACTAGAGGATAGCTGCCGGCTGTCGCAATGCCACAATGGTTATTTCGGTCTTTAGCCATGTAGATGTAGCCTTTGTTACCCCATTTCTCAGTCCAGCTAAAGATACAGAACAAAGCATGCATTTAAGGTTGTCTGCAGTTAAGTGTTATTCAAATCAAACTTGAGCATCATTAGGAGGAAATCAGAAGTAGGCTAAATCATACCTGTTCTTTACAATCCAGTAGCTCTTCCCAGCAACATCAGCACCCTCATAACCATAACCAACCACCAAGACTCCATGGTCAAGTTCTTCACTGCTGCACTCCTTCTCATAATAGATGCCTAGAGTAGAACATTTATAAAGAAATTAAACCACAAAGAGACTCTCCGTTTGATTTAGATTTAAAGGCAAGCCATGTAGTTTTGTAATGGTTAAATTTAAATTGTATGCACAACCATAAATTTAGTCTGTTCTTAGGGTGATCAACCACCTACCAGACTGGTAGAACTGGAAGGATTCATGTGCAGCATCAATAGCAACAGCTATAGGACCCACAGCAGCAACAGCCTTCATCAAAGCATGCTCTTTACCACTGGGAATGTCCACAAAACCAGTGTCATTAGCAGCATTATAACTGGGGTCGTAGCGGCATGGCTGATCATCCTGGGAGCACAAAAGACATTGTACGTTACATGTGATGTTAATAAATACTCTGTGATACATGGTTGAAAAGGGCCTTGACACCAACTATAGATTCACTAGCATCTCCAATCAGAAAGAGCACAACTGATTCTTACTGTTGCAAGGTAGGGGTAGTACTCTTCAGAATCCAGCCCATTGTTGTCCTGAACATACTGGAAGGCCTGGTCCATGAGGCCTCCATCACAGCCGTGATTGCCCTCCGGCCTAGAACAGTCCACCAAGTTTTGCTCACTCAAAGAAACCAGCTTTCTCGTTTTACGGAACAGCTGACCCTCCAAGGCACCCGTTGAGCTGAAAGCCCAGCAAGATCCACACCGTTTCTAGGATCAGGAAATAGGAATTTGTTACCAAACAGTGAAGAAATACATGCACATTTTACATTAACAGATACAGAATAAACGAAAGCTCTAAAAACCAGTTTGATAAATTGCTTACTTGGTCTTTAACACGGGTAACATAACCCTTCTCTCTCCAGTCAACTTGTTGGGGGGCTTCAAAAAAGCTGGGTTCCATAAACAATGAGCCCTTTGACTTCCGGTTGGGGTCATGACTGTAACCATTCATCGCCTGTTTGAACTCATCATTTGTCTAAGAGGGAGGATGCAAACAAAAGGTTTAATTTAAAAAAAAATAATGCCTAGCAGACATAAAGGTAACAATTGATCCAAGTGTTAAGTATGAAAAGGATTATATTTTACAACAGATCCATTCACAAAATGCCACCGAAAACAAAACAAAAAATGCTTACCATGTCACCAAATTGGTTCATGCCCAGTCGGAAGGTGTGTTTGCCCACGGAGTGCTCAAGGTTATGCAACTCGATTTTTCTGAAGTTCTTCTCCCACACCATTCTCCTCCAGCCCTCTTCTTTCTGAAGAAGCAGACATTTTAGCCATTGCAAAATAGAATTTCTGTATAAAGACATGCATTGCTTTTCCTTTGTGTTGAAGCTGATGTCTGGTTACAAGCTCTAGTTAGTGCTACCCACCTCGTGGTAGTTTTTTTCATGCCAGCTCTTCCAGAGGTGCCAGTGGTCATCTAACTGCTGGTCTAAGCTTGGAGCAGCAAACACTGCACTCATGCATAGCGTGAGGAGCGAGGCAAACATCATCCTGCCTGGAAGCCTGTGACAGAAGAAAACAAGACTCAATTTAAAAGAATAGTCTCAGAGGTGAGTTACACAGACTACAGCAGTAAACAGTTTATCCAATTACAAGGATCAAAACCTCAGTGCGCATTCCAATAGTTATTCCATGCTAAGAACACACTGAACATGTACAGGTAACAAAGCCACATGTATACAACGCATAATAAATCGTTCAAAATGTGTAAGCATCACTAGAAAATAGTTAGACAGCTTCTTAAGTTAAGTTTAAACAAGCAAATGCACAATTTTTACTAAGGCAATTTATCCACTAAACCCAGGTAGCCTAAATATAATTTGAGCAACTCCGAAATTTGAAGAATAAACTTACCTTTCACCAACGAACTGTCTGTCTGTCATTGTTTACAACTGAGTGGTTTTTAAAGCGTGCCTGAACATAGAGGCGTCGTCTCATTGGCTGAGGGTAATGATAAGCCAAGTGTTTACAGCCAATCATGTGAAGCAAGAATCTCATCCATTCGTGTGATCAAGCATCACAAGATCGAGCACTCATCACTGACAGTGGCCTTGCTCTAACAAGATTAATCGTCGTTTACAATTTAATTGTAGGCTAATTATATGTTTTAATTGCTGGTTAAAAATAATAATTTATTGTCTTTATGGGACTCTTTGTTTGGTGCTTTGCTCTCTTCTGTGTAGATTTTCACGTTTGTTTGTGCATCAGAGAAGCGCGTGTCTGTGTCTGACAAGCCCAACATGCTCGGGCAGAAAATAATCAAAGTGAAAACACTTAAAATTCCCTAACTAAGCGTTTGAAACATAATCAGTGGCTTGTGTTTTGTATGACTCTTAAAATACTACATTTAGCAGCCACAGACAGTACTGGCATTATCTAAGCTTGAGCTTGGTCTTTCAGTTGCAGAGGTGACATAATTTGCATACAAATTGTCTTACTTTTCAAGTTTAAACCTTTTCGTTCTTAATATGTCTAAGAACATGTAGCCTACTAAATATTATTTCTGAATCTTCATTCTCCATGCAGGAACATCTCCAAAAAGATTCATGAATTTTGTATAGGCCTATTTAATACAGTGTTATAAGTGATAGTCTCTAAGGATGATGGCTTGAGTGAGACGTTATTAAATGGTGTCAAACCAAAGGATTTGGTTTAATAAAATCATTAATTAAACACAAACCTTTGACAGTTAGCAAAAACCACCGCACAACCTGATATTTCCTGCAGTCAACATATAGAAACACAGCAGAAAAAGGAAACTGAAACGAAATCTGCGATCTGATGTTTGATGGAGTGAGAATCTAAATTTACATTTAAGCCTAGCCAGTATAGTTTAACAATGGTAAAACCCTTGGTTAACTTAGACCATAAAAGACACCCAATGTTACCTGTTTCGCTTTGCTTCACGTCATACCATTTATTCTGTTGCTTTGTACAAAACCTCTTTATTTGTTATCTTTTCATTTGTGAATAGGAAACAGTGACATGAGATGTGTTTACCTGTATTATGTGTTAATGACTGCATTGTGTGACTGCATGATTAATTAGGTCATCAGAAAATGATGTCATCAGAACTTGAAAATAGGCAGAACAAAAAATCTGACAGAGTGGAAATCAGACTTCAAATGATGAAAAAAGCAATCATTCTGCTCCTCCTCAATGAACTGTTTAAAATAGAAAGATCTCTCAGAAGTCAGGAAGTTGCTTTTCTTGTGGTCATCAGAAACTGAATAAAATATGCAACATGTAACTTATGCCATTTCTTAACACAAAAAAAGAAAACTTCACATACTTCTACTAAGTTATTAATCACATTATTGTTAATAATTGTTTTAGACTTGTAACATTTGGTTATTTATTTTTAAAACACACAGTTATTTATATGAAATGCAGCCTTGTCTGACTTAGAATAATTTAATACACTGCCACTAGCTGAACATCAGGGGTAAGGTAAGTTGGTAGGATAAATGATGGTGATTTTTTGTTTATTTATTTTTTTACACTTTTGACTTCTGCAGTTTACATCGATTATTACCCTACACTTCAGACCAACAACATAGAAGACTTTAATCACAATTACAACTCATGGACTTCTTTTAAATTACTTACACTAATTAATCTTCCTAGTCATATTTTCATTATTTCTTTCCTCCCCAGTCCACCCAATGTTATCATGATGGGAAAAGAACAACATAACATATTTTCTCCATGGGAAATTTCTGTGATGTTATTAAACAACAGTCAATTTATTAGAATTCAGAGTAAGTCCATTATTTGTAGACATATTGAGTTAAGTAATATTCAGATAATTGTGGTCCTCAATCTGCAACTCTTCCTCACTCTGTGTGCGAGTGCTCTTGGGTTTGTTGGACTGACCACTGGGAAGGCCTCCAGGATTCAATGCTGGGTTACTTCTCCTCTTCTGGTGGAAGAGACAGTGGTCGAGATAAACATTTGGTGTGACACATGCATGAAACATGACTTTACTAAGACACATTTATAGAGGACATTCCAGGTCTTTGTTAGAAGGGTGGCACTTAACATTATTCATAAAAAATATGGTGAGAAAAAATAATTTCTTTGTAAATCATTCACTGTTCGGTCATAACTTGTTGCATTGAATTCAATAGATTCTTTTCTCTCTTTTTTTATTCTTCATCTTTCTTTAGAATGTGGACTAATTTTGAGATTATTACCTTATAGCAAACCACTCCAGTGATGATTCCACATAGTACTATTAAACCAATGCCACAACCAACCGAGATCATCACTGTGATGGGGAGACCTGAGAGAAGATTAACACAAAGTTTCATTCTTTTCAAGTTTTTCTATTATCCTTTCTTATTAGTGCAAAAAAAAAAATTCAGGCCTATGCATAAACAAACATCACTAAATCTAAATTCAACTGATATAGTTCAAATGATTCAAAAGATATAACAAACCTAAACTATGAGAATATGCAGAAACAGATCTTCACATCAATTCACAGATACTCTTTGTTACACAGTTAAAAAAAAACTTTTTTGTGCTGAATTAGCAAGGCCATGCTGCAACTAAAATCTGTTTTGTAACCTATAACCCTAGCATATGACATCCACCATAATAACATGGTACAGAAAAAAACATATGAAGAATAAAAGTTCACTAGCTTTTCTAGCCATGTCATGCACACAGATAAGAAACAAATGGTAAATGGACTGCATTTATATAGCGCTTTCACAGACCCAATGGCCACCAAAGCGCTTTACATATTGCCTCACATTCACCCATTCACTCACTCATTTATACAACGACGGCAACAACATCATGGTAAAACATTTTGACACTAAAATATTGCAATAAACATTAACAACATAAAATAACATAAACATAAAACCCTTTTGTAACTGATAAGAAAAAAACAATAAGAAACATAATTATTAAAATAAAAAACCATCAAATGTAGCAGGGAATTCTGAGAATGTCCGTTTATGTTTTTTCGCTGTAAATTATAACATCCAAAAATACATTTAACAGTATTTTACTGTAAAATTACACAATGTATGGTTAGATTTATTACAGGAAACTTACCGTTAACCAATTAACAGGTTTTTGCTGTTGCATTTTGTCTTTTACAGTTAAAATTACAATATTTTTTACAGTGTATCTGTACCAAGTATGCTCTGTTTTGGCTTAGTTCTAGTTCATGTACCTGGCTGTATCCTTTGTTCTCGTTTTCCAGCCACTGGTTTCTTAGGTTAGTGTTCTGCTTCTGTTTCTGTTCCCATGTAAGCCCTCAGTTTCCTGTGTTTCGTTGTTCTGTCGTCAGTGTTTTGCGTGGTTGTTATGTTATTCTCCTGTGAGCTCCTCAGCTGTTTATTTTGGATTTATGAAAGACTGTGTTTTTGTTCTTACTCCTTCGTCGAGCCCTTACTACACTGTTAAAAATTGCTGTAAAAATACAGCCAATTTCCAACAGTAAAATACTGTTATTTCAATAAACAGTTTTATCCTGTAAATTTACAGTCTATGCTCCATAAATTAATTGCTTGCTGTAAATTTACAGCATTTATGTGTTAACCAATTTGTTCCTGGTGTCACGTGTTGATCTAAACAATACCGTTGTCATGCATACTTGACCTGTAGTGCGGAACCGGAAATAAAGTGTTTGAGTTCACCCCCAGTAAAATGTATATGGTGTATGTGACATGGTGTCAGAACAGAAGTAGGTCTATCATTACTTAATACACAAGGAGAACATTGCACGACGGCCGAATATTTTCCGATGGAGGTTCTACACTACAAGCCACCCGAGCCGTTTGATTTCGACTGTCCTAATGTGAGCGCCGCGTGGAAGAAGTGGCAGCAACGTTTTGCCCTGTTCCTCACAGCATCGGGAAACAGTGACGCATCATCAGAGAAAAAGGTTGCTATTTTGCTCACGATACTCGGAGAGAGAGGATATGATATATATAGTAACTTCAGATGGGCACCGGCTGAAGGTGAGAGAGAAGCGGAAAATTGTAATGACTTTGATACTGTGCTCAGAAAATTCGAGCAGTATTCCAACACGAGGAATCCAGTAATGGCTTTGCGTGCACAGTTTTGGGCATACCAGAGACCTGAAGGCCAGGGTTTAGAAGCATTTGTGAATGATCTCAGAACGATGGCAAGTAACTGTCAGTTTACTGATTTAGAGACCACGCTACGAGACAAATTATTTTTTTCCATAAAAGATCCGGCAATGAAAATGAAAGTAATGGGTGATGACGGCAATGCATCTCTTGAAATAGTGACACAGCGAATGCGTACGTTTGAGAGCGCCAAGCGGGAACTTGATATGATACAAGGCAAGTCGCCGCAAACCCCGGACAAGTCAGTTCACACTCTAAACACCTACTCGCGAGGCAGAGACCGTGGACGTTATCGAGGACGAGGTAGACAGCGCGTGCAGTCAGCACAAGCTAGTAGACACCCGCAGAGTGGAGCTACCGCTAAAGTGACACAGCACACGTCCAATGCATGCAGCAGATGTGGTACAACGCATCAACCTCGCAACTGCCCTGCGTATGGTAAGGAGTGTCGTCGCTGTAAGAAATTAAACCACTTTGCTGATCATTGTCAAGCCAGAATGCCTAGCTATCATAGTAGAGGGCATGGTCGTGGAGTATCAACTGTACACTCAGTGGAATCTGATTTTGAACATTTCTTTATTGACTCAATGACACATGATCTCAGTGACCCCTGCTGGTATGAAGAGGTAATTGTTAATGAGGACAAGATTAAAATGAAACTAGATACAGGAGCAGACACAAACTGTATGCCACTGTCACAGTTCAGACAGCTAACAGAATACACCAGCATCCCTGTTTATAAGTCTTCAGCTAGACTGTCAGGATATGGAAAGCACAGTATAGAGCACATAGGAAAAGTACATTTAAAATGCTCGACACGCAAGGGTGTTCAAGCGAGCTATGACTTTTTCATCACAACTGAAAATGGACCATCGATCTTAGGTCGTCAAGCATGTTCTGGTCTTCGACTCATTCAAAGAGTAGACAACATTGAAAAATCACTAACTCAAGAAGATCTGATTGAACGGTACCCTGATGTGTTTAGTGGTCTAGGAAAATTCACAGAGCCATATGACATTAAGTTGAAGGCCAATGTGTCACCTGTAATTCACCCACCGCGCAGAGTGCCTCTGAGTCTTCATAACCGTCTCAAAGAAAAGCTTGATGATATGGAAGCAGCCGGCGTCATCCGTAAAACATCAAAACCCACAGACTGGGTCAATAGTCTTGTGGTAGTGGAGAAAAAGGATGGATCACTTCGTTTATGCCTAGATCCAAAAGATCTGAATCGCGCCATTAGAAGAGAACACTTCATGATTCCAACCAGCTCTGATGTGATCAGCCAGATGTCTGGGAAAACAATGTTCACAGTGCTTGATCAGACAAGTTCTTACTGGCAAGTTCCTCTCACTGAAGCCAGTGCAGACCTGTGCACATTCAATACTCCCTTCGGGCGATATTCATTCCAGCGAATGCCATTCGGAATATCAAGCGCCAGCGAAGTCCTACAGCGAAGAAACCAGATGGTTTTTGGGGACATCCCAGATGTGCATATTATAGCGGATGATTTGATTGTCGCCTCACTAGATGAGAAACAACATGACAAGACATTACATGATGTGATGCAGCGTGCTAAATCCATGGGATGTAAGTTCAATAAAGAAAAGATCAAATTCAAGAGGTCTGAACTCGTGTACATGGGCCATGTGATCAGCAAGGAAGGTCTGAAGCCCGACGAATCAAAAGTGACAGCCATAACTAACATGCCTGACCCAACTTCAAAAGAGGATCTTCTAAGGATCATGGGCATGATCAATTATTTGTCACAGTTCATACCTAATCTGTCCACAACGACAACGCCACTACGTAGTCTACTCAAAAAAGACACAGCATGGACATGGGAACAGCAGCATGCAGCAGCTCTCAAGATGTTGAAAACACTTATCAGCAGCAAGCCAGTGCTCAAGTTTTTTGACATAACCAAAGACACTGTGATACAGTGTGACGCGTCATCAACCGGTCTTGGAGCCTGTTTGCTGCAGGATAGTCATCCCATTGCATATGCATCTCGTTCTCTGACTGCATCTGAACAAAATTACTCTCAAATTGAAAAGGAGCTGCTGGCGATTTGTTTCGCAACTGAAAAGTTCAACCAGTATGTGTATGGCAGACCAGTGACAGTACAGTCCGACCACCGTCCGCTCGAGATGATTACCAGAAAGCCACTGCATAAGGCTTCACCACGGCTCCAGCAAATGTTGTTACGCCTGTTGAAATACAACATTGATGTGAAGTACCACCCTGGAAAACACATGTACATTGCGGATACTTTGAGCCGAGCGTATCAGACCAGTGATGCTACATCTTCCAACATAGAGGATGCACAACAGCTACGGGTACACAGCATCACTGAGGTACTGCCTATGAGCAGCCAGAGAATTGAAAAAATCCAGCAAGCATCAGCCAATGACCCAACTCTCCAGGCAGTAAGTGCAGTGAGTCAAAGAGGTTGGCCGTCTCACAAGTCAAGTGTACCTCGCCTAGCGCAACTGTTTTGGCAGGTGAGAGATGAAGTATACGTTGAACATGGACTTGTTTTTGTAGGAGACAGAGTAGTAATCCCAGAGTCTATGCGACAGGAGATTATTTCCGCCTTACATGACACTCATATAGGCATTGAGAAGTGTAAAACCAGAGCCAGAGCTATCATGTATTGGCCTGGGATGTCTAGAGACATACAAGAAGCAATTGCTCGTTGCAGTGTGTGTGCAAAATTTCACAGAAGTAACGTCCAGGAGCCAATGTTGCCACACGAAGTGCCAGACCGTCCATGGGCTAAGCTGGGTTCTGACATATTTACTTATAATGGAACAGATCACCTACTCCTCGTTGATTATTTCTCTAAGTACCCTGAAGTGGTGAGTCTGAGAACCAAGACAGCACAAGAGATCATCAACAAGCTGAAGTCTCTTTTTGCCAGACATGGAGTGCCGGACGTGTTGGTGAGTGACAATATGCCATATGCCAGTCATGCTTTTCGCCAGTTTGCCGCAGATTGGAACTTTGACCTGGTGACGTCTAGTCCTACATATCCTCAGTCTAATGGACAGAGTGAGAGGTTTGTGCAAACAATAAAACAGCTAATGAGAAAAGCAGCAGAGGATGGCAAGGACATTTACAAGTGCCTGCTTGATCTCCGAGACAGTCCTATTAGCGGACTCAATGTCACGCC